AAAATGTCACCCGGTCGCGAAATTCCATTATATTTTGAATTCTCTGTTGTCAACCCCAATAAAACTTGTTATACCGTAAATCAAAATTGATTTATCTACACAATGGTGTATAACACGCCTACCTTTGTTGTCGAAATCATTCATAGCAGGCCTACCCAAGTATGTCAACCGTAATTATTTTGTCTACCAACACTCGATTGGAAATATAAGACTCGCAGTAAAAGGTATCCTATTGGTCAAATTTTATGGGAAGGTCTATTGCTAAAAATAAATATTTCTTGGAGTTATCTCATTTTATATGTAAAGTCCAGAGAGAGTCTGAACCACATTGATGGAATGGGAAAATTTGAGTCTAAAAATTGAAACTCTTAACTCATTAGACATACCTCAAATAACACTTGTTAGATTTTTTCACGGAATCTTTTACAAATTTACTATCTGGGTGATAAGTTCTATTCAGACAAAAACTAACAGGTTTTTTTTTAAATACTTTTTTTAATTAATCATTTACTGCGAGTCTTATATTTCCAATCGGGTGTTGGTAGAGGAAAATAATTACGGTTGACATACTTAGGTAGGCCAGTAGGCATGCTACGAATGATTCTGATATCAAAGGTAGGCGTGTTATACACCATTGTGTAGGTAAATCAATTTAGATTTACGGCATAATAAGTTTTAGTGGGGTTGACAACTGAGAATTCGAAATATAACGGAATTTCGCAACCGGGTGACATTTTTCAAAAATGCGAGTTAATTTCCTTGTGTTATATTAAGGTATAACGGGAAATTTGTTTTCTGAGACAAGTGCCTGTTCAATATGGTCCTCGTAAAATTCACACAAATAATCAATTTTCCACACTTTTTTCTTTTCTTCGCACTTGAAGATTTTGCTTTGATATTCATTATGCAGTTTGATCATATTAACAATAAGGATAGATCAAGTTGTTTCAGTGCAATGAGTTTTTAACTGGTAGGGGACTATGTATTGCCCTGAAATACTTTCAGAATGCTTGTTTTAGTTTTGTTGCTGTGATTTACTCCCTTACTATGAGTTATAGGGTAATATATTTTGTATATTTGATGCTTGCAAGGTCTACAACAATGTACATATATCCATCAGACACTATATTTGGTATATATCATGATTGTTAGGTGGACATGTCTTTCACAAATTTTCATGGTTTTGTCCATTTATCAAATGCTGTAAGCCATTGGTCAATATAAAAAAAGAAGATGTGGTATGATTGTCAATGAAACAACTCTTCACAAGAGACCAAATGACACAGAAATTAACAACTATAGGTCACTGAAAGGCCTTTAACAATAAGCAAAGCCCAACTTTATTTGTTGTACGGAATGATTGTAAGGTGTACATGTCTGTCTGGTAAGGTTCATCGGACCTTGACCTCATTTTCATGGTTCATTAATTTTGTCAATGCTCAATTTTGGCAATCAGGTCTGGCCCTTTGGCTTACAGTATCTGAGTATATGCAATAGGCTAGGCCAACTTTATTTGATGTATGGTATGAAATTTAATTCAATCAAGTAAATCAGGCAAGACATTTCAGCATGTGCATTATTGTTGTCATTTTAGTTGCATTTTATTAAGTTAGTTATTTATGAGTATGAATAAAGTTGCCCTCACAAAGACTTTTAATAATCTGACCTCGTCCACCATATTAAAATTCAAAATATTTCACAGTGGCTAGCTTAACTGTTCTTGCATTTTTCTAACTAAATATTGATACCCAAAAAAATAGAAACAATGGCTGTCTTTTCCCTCAGAGCTGTTTGATTATCATATAAGGCAAAACGCAAAAAAAATTATCATATAAGGCAAAACGCAAAAAAAATTATCATATAAGGCAAAAAAAATTGCAAAAATTGTCATTAAAGGGCAATAACTCCGTTAAGGAGTCATCAGACGATTTCCTCCATATTGTCTTAATTGTAGATCTTGTCTTGCTGGTTATTTTTGCTTATTAAAGTTTCTATCTATCACAATTTTTAAGATATAAGGCAAAAACGCCAAAAAATTGGTAAAATTGTCATCAAAGTATAATAACTCTAATGAGGAGTTGACTGACGATATTGACAATTAGACTTTTTTTTAGAACTTGTCTTCCTGATTCTTTTTGCAATTTAAAATTTCTATCTTTTTTAGCTGGGCCAAGTGAGCTTTTCTCATCACTTGGTGTCCGTCGTCCGTAAACTTTTACAAAAATCATCTCCTCTGAAACTACTGGGCCAAATTTAACCAAACTTGGCCACAATCATTATTAGGGTATCTAGTTTAAAAAATGTGTCTGGTGTCCCGGCCAACCAACCAAGATGGCCGCCATGGCTAAAAATAGAACATAGGGGTAAAATGTAGATTTTGGCTTATATCTCTGAAACCAAAGCATTGAGAGCAAATCTGACGGGGTAAAAATGTTTATCAAGTCAAGATCTATCTGCCCTGAAATTTTCAGATGAATTTGGTTATTATCTTGAATATTATTATAAGTTCTACAAATAAGTCAACATGACCAAAATGGTCAGTTGACCCCTTAAGGAGTTATTGCCCTTTTATAGTCAATTTCTAACAATTTATCGTAAATTTTTGTTATCTTTTACAAAAATCTTCTCCTCTGAAACTACTAAGATGAATTTGACCAAAGTTGTAAACAATCATCATTAGGGTATGTAGTTTGAAAATTGTGTCTGATGACCCCGCCCGCGAACCAAGATGGCCGACATGGCTAATAATAGTACATAGGGTAAAATGCAGTTTTTGGCTCATATATCTAAACCCAAAGCATTTCAAGCAAATCTTTCAAAAACAAAATTGTTCATTAGGTCAAGATCTATACGCCCTTAAATTTTCAGACCATTCAGGCAACCCGTTGTTGGGTTGCTGCCCCTGAATTGGTAATTTTTAGAATTTTTTTCAGCTTTTGGTTATTATCTTGAATATTATTATAGATAAAGATAAACTGTAAACAGCAATAATGTACAGAAAAGTAAGACCTACAAATAAGTCAACATGACCAAAATGGTCAATTGACCCCTTAAGGAGTTATTGCCCTTTATAATCAATTTTTAACAATTTTCATAAATTTTGTAAATTTTTACAAAATAATTTCCACTGAAACTACTGGGCCAAGTTCATTATAGATAGAGATAATTGTAAGCATCAAGAATGTTCAGTAAAGTAAGATCTACAAACACATCACCATCACCAAAACACAATTTTGTCATGAATCCATCTGTGTCCTTTGTTTAATATGCACATAGACCAAGGTGAGCGACACAGGCTCTTTAGAGCCTCTAGTTAATTTTCAAAATAATAGTCCTATAAGAAGTCGTTTTGATTTATATGAACAGTTGTAAGAGCTCAACATTCTGAACAGTTTTGCTCCTGTCAGATTTTTCTCTATTTATAACGGTTTACAAAATAATAGACAAAATTTCATTTTACCCCTATGCTCAATTTTTTTACGCCCATTTACGGGACGTATTATGGTATACCGTTGTCCGCCTGTCCGTCCATCGACAACATGTCGGATATTAACTCACAAACGCTTAAACCAATTTGTATGAAACTTTGATGGATTGTTTATATCTATTGACGTGAGCTCCTTTTGTTTTTTTTTATAAATTTTAGATTTTACGTTTCGGAGATATGGGGTTTTATTCCTTAAAAAAGGGGGATTTTCCAGTTTTCGGACAAGAACTCAAAAAAACTTTCACTAATTTGCAAGAAACTTTGGTGAATTGTTTATATCTATTGACATGAGCTCCCTTTCGATTTTTATAAATTTTAGATTTTACGTTTCTGAGGTATGGAGCTTTATTCATTACAAAAAGGGGGATTTTCCAGTTTTTGGACAATAACTTGTTTATATCTATTGACGTAAGCTCCCTTTCGATTTTTATAAATTTTAGATTTTACATTTCTGAGTTATGAGGTTTTATTCATTACAAAAAGGGGGATTTTCCTATTACGGACAATAACTCAAAAATGCTTTGAGCAGTTTTCATGAAACTTTGGTGAATTGTTTATATCTATTGATGTAAGCTCTCTTTAGATTTTTATAAATTTTAGATTTTACATTTACAGTGATGGGATTTTATTCATAAAAAAGGGATCATTTTCCAGTTTTCGGACAACATCCTTAAAGTGCTTTGAGCAGTTTTCATTAAACTTTGGTGATTGATTTATATCTATTAAGATAAGTCTTTCATAAATATCGGATGTGACATTGAGAAGTTATTGAACTTTATTCTTTGAAAACGCGACGGGCGTATCATCATTAAATTTGGCCAAGTAGTTTCGTGTAAAATTGTTGAGGACGGACAACGGTGCATGCCAAGTGATGAGAAAAGCTCACTTGGCCCTTCGGACAGGTGAGCTAAAATGGGGCATTTTATCTACCTTGGAAACATATTGACAATATATTGTACATTCATATATATTTTACTGAATATTACATATTTTAGTTGAAAATTATGTCTGATTATGCTGATTCTTATGAAGAAGATGTTTTGTAAAAGAAAATTACTATAAAAATTTTGACATTTTTATTGCAATTCAAAAATTACTACCTCAACATTCTATGATTTTAGTTGAAAATTATGTCTGATTATGCTGATTCTTATTCAAAAATTACTACCTCAACTTTCAATGATTCATTTAATACAATAAATGTATGCATAGAAGTTTCAGCAATACCTTGATACTAACAATAAAGATAAGAAATCTTTTTGGATTGTAAGTATGCTTTAAATCTGACAGTCAGAAAGCTAAAATTTACAGTTTATCAAAATTGTCACAAAATTTGAGTTATTTCCCTTTAGCTAGCAACAGTTTAACTAAAATGCAGGATAAAAATAAGAATATTCATGAATGCTGAGGAATGATACTATTTAGTCACTGTTTATAAGGTGTAAGCACAGATTTCTTGAGACATCATCAGAAATACATCAATAATTGACCATTTGGAAAAAAATATTTCCAGATTTCGACCGACCTGCCATGTTAAACAAATTGCTTGGCAGTGGAAGCTATGAATCATTTGACATGCGCTGCATGGTAACCGGGCAATTTGCAGTGGGAAAATCAAGTCTGGTCAAGCTTTTAGTGGGGGATAATGTTCCAGAAAAGAGACGTCCCACTGATGGCATTTCGCTCGTAGAAGGTCGCTGTGGCCTTGATATTGAGACCAGAAGTTGGATCATGATTGATCCAGGTAAGAATAGACAAATACATACATTTATTTATATCTGAGGAAGATTCAGTGTTTGCCCAATGATAATGTAGGGGAGTGGGGTTTGTGGATGTGCTCACTTAGGTTCTGTCATTTTATATACTAGGAAAAACCCACACAAGCGCGGCTTGAAGACTACTTGAAATGTTTATGGTGATACACAGCTTGGGTTCGTGTTTCTCAAACCATTTTTATGCACTGATGCATTAAGTTGATAGTTTTTGTCTAGCTTGACGGAGTCAAAAAGCGAGACAAAGGGATGCTGTTTCCGGCTTCGACGGCGGCGGCGTCAACAATGTATTAGTTTGTGATAAGGTCAGTTTATGAGGAACCATTAGTGGTAGGTCAATGATATTTGGTATGCAGTTGTATAAGCATTGGCATATCTCATTTCCATGGGGATTATTTGGCTCAGCCCCTTTAGTCATGGTCTATTGACTTTGAAAATTTTGCTTAGTTAACATGTATTAGTTTGTGATTAGGTCAGTTCAAGGGGAACCATTAGTGGTAGGCCAATGTTAATTGGATTCAGTTGTATAAGCATTAGCACATCTCATTTCAATGGAGAATATTTGGCCCCATCCCCTCAGTCATGGCCTATTGACTTTGAAACTTTTGCTTAGTTTACATGTATTAGTTTGTGATAAGATCAATTTAAGATGAACTGCTAATGTTAAGTCAATAATATTTGGTATGCAAATTTATTGGCATTTGTAAGTATCGTTTCCATGGAGATTATATAGCTCCACCCCCTCTTCATGGTTCATTGACTTTGAAACTTTTACATAGTTTACAAGTTAATGTTTGTGTTCAGGTTTGTTTAAAGGGAACAACTTATAATAAGTCAATGATATTTGGTATGCAGTTGTATTAGCATTGGCGCATCTCATTCACATGGAGATGGTTTAGCTATGTACCTCAGTCATGGTTCATTGACTTTGAATATTTGCCTAACTTATTAAGTATTGCCATTTTGATTTCAACATTTGCATAATCAAAATTACAAAAAGCTAGATATATCTCTGTGATAACAGTTTATTATTAGTTTGTCAGTTCTTCCATAGGAGTTTGAATGTCCAATTAGTTAGCTTCTGTCTTGGTGTTACACAGGTGCTCCTAGAACGGAGGAAATAACTCAGAGAAGAAGACAATCTAGAACACTGATGATTAAAACATGTCTCAGTGGTGCTAGTTTGTAGTATTTCTTTCTTTTTTTTTTCGAAAGGTGCGAGTCAAGTTCTGTCACTGTGTGATACGGGTTCTCCAAGAACGGAAGAAATAACTCAGAGAAGAAGAAGACAATCTAGAACTCTCTGATGATTTAAATCATTTCTTCAGTGGTGCGAGTTTGTAGTATTTTTTTTTTTTTTCGAGTGGTGCGAGTTCTGTCTCTGTGTGATGTGGGTGCTCTGAGGAAGGAGGAATTTACTAAGAGAAGAAGAAAACAATCTTATGATTAAACACATTTCTTCGAGTTTGTTATATTTCTTTTTTTTGAGTGGTGCGAGTTGGTCGTGGGCCGAGTTGTTGGGCATTACATCGACTGAGCATGCGCAAAAGACACGGATCGATAATGGTCTCCGAATTTGGATATTTTCTCAAAAATTGTCGTTTTCTGTGGAAAAAAGATTATTTTAGGAAGTGCAAAACACTACATTTATACGTCATATCACAAATATTTCCAACTTTGTTTCAGTGGAGTTGTGGCTCAATGAAATCGGTCTCTTCCTTTAGTAGTAAAGATTTATTGTCAGTCTAACAGGGTTTGAATCAATTTACATTATGAAATTTCTTTTTTCCATACAGTTTGATTGGTAAATATTTAGAAACTAAATTTATACCAGGCAGATACTGAAAATAGACATTAACAAACTGAATATCAATTCATATGACATACTTTAGTTCTTATTTTCATGCATATTTGTTTAGCATTCTGAAGCCTTACTTAGTAGTGTGCTTTGCAGGGATTTTTTTTTTGTTTTGAGTTATTCATTTCAGAGAACTAGGTTGCCTATTTAGCAACTAATTTAGTAGAAAATTATTTGACAACTGAAATTGATTATGTTTTTTATTTTGGACAGGGATGGGGAGAATTTCATTGCAATGTAATGCATTATATTACAATTACTTTAACAAAAACATGCATTAATTACAATTACAGCTACATGTATTTATCAAAGTAATGAATTCAATTACAATTACTTTTGCAAAGTAATGCATTGAATTACACATTACATTAGTAAATTTTATAATCAAGTGAAAAGAAAAATCAAATATTTCGAAAAACAACATCAAGTCACAAGAGATTCTAGCATATGCAATAATGTTCCATGTATTGAATTTTAGTATACATGTACAAGGTCTATTCAATACGACTGTTACAATTTAACATCATAAGGGTTCCGAAAGTTTCATCCTTCGATCATGTGCATTATATGTTTCAAGGTATACATCTCTGTGTTCTCTCTAAAAACGAATTACAGAGATGAAGTTAGTACTTCTTTTATACTTTATATTACCTTTACTTTCATAAATATTATACATTTGGTTTTTTTTTTAATTACAATCAAAATATTTACTGAGAACTTCCTTCTTAATTATAAAATAAACATAGAGCTTAATTTTTCACCAAGTATCAAAACGGTGAAAAGATTTATTGTAAAACAAATTAATTTTTTTTTTATGACATCAATTATCTGTTATTTAATTGACAAGGTATTAATTGATCTTTTGACAACAATGTAACACAGTTATGCTTTTCAAATATCAATATTTTTATGCAGGAACATGTATGAAATAAAATGAAATAAAAAAAAATCTGATATAGATCGATATACAGTGTAACTGTTGTTTTATGCATTTAGAATTGTAACTTGGTCATTCTAGTATTTATACCAAATTTTTTTCAAGTTTTACCGTGGGCAAGGCTCAATCTCCAAATTCCCTCTAGCGATTTATGTAAAGTGTGAAAAATAGATAAAAAATAGGAAATCAATATTCAAATAATTATGTTCTTTGTTAATCAAGAAATCTTAAATTCTGCTTAACCCTTTCACCTATAGCTGCCCAGACAGAAGCTACTCTGAGACGATGGCTTCCCTGGCTACTATTACTCAAGTGGGAGATCTTCATAATAAATGTCAATAAAAACTTGTCTGTAGTATTTTGTGTCTTTATTTCATTCACTAACACCATGTTCACAGTTTTGTTCATGTTTTGATAATTTTTTCTTCATAAAATATTCAAATTTTCAAATTTTCGGCATTATGTAGGTGAAATTCTCAAAATTCTGCTCTTTGACCCAAAATCGTAATTTTTTAACCCCAAAACGGCAAAATTTTGAAAAATTTAATGAAGTTGTACAAATTCCTTACACTGAACGATGTCCATTCCAAGTGTTTTGTACATAAAACGACATTTTATGTCAAAAAAGTATACTAGTTTGGCTTCAATTCTTCCATATTCTTTCAAAAAAATGTTCCCTCATTTCAAATTCTCGTAAATTCCGTAAATTTCCTCTGATTTTGACACGGTTTTCAACAAACGGAAGCGCCATGTTTACACTTTCATCCTGGTATTCAACAAAGAAAAATAACTCGTGTTTGCACTGTTTTGAGCGGGAAATATAAAAGAGGTATTCCGATCCCGGTAAAACGGGACTCATCGTCAGCTGTCTGAAGCGTGAATACCGGTAAACCGGGACTCATCGGCGAAAGGGTTAAGTTAAATCTCCAACAATCTGTTAAAGATATATATGATTTGAAAAAAAGTAATGCAATGTAATGCATGAAATTACACAACTTTTTGCTAAAGTAATGCATTACCATTACAAATTTGCATTACCCCATGCCTGATTTTGGACAAACCCTAGAAGGTGAATAGTGATAAGGTTAATAATGGGGCTTTATTTAATAAGTAGAAAGTCTAGTGTCAGTCTTATTTTTTTGGTTATGCTAGTCGTTATTTTTACAAAAGATGTGAAAAGAAACTGCAAGCAGCATTTTGTCCCAGCGTGAACAATAATATTGACATATTGTAACGTTGTAGACAAAGTTATCCCTGTATTGATTAGATTTAAATTTGTGTATCGTTTTAATATAAAGATAAGGCTTAGGAGATGAGGTATGATTGCCAATGAGACAACTATCCACCAAAGTTCAAATAAAGTGGATGTCCATATTAACTTAGCTATTCATACCAAAGTTTATCTATTTTGCATAAATATTTATATATATATATAATAGATAACATCAGTTATTTGTTGTTTATTTATACAGCAACTTACAATGCCTTGGATGTTGTATACAATAAAGTGTTAATGACCTCCGTAGAAGAAGATGAAAGTAAACAAACAAAAACACCAGAAAAACATGAATCTGATGCCAAACCTGTTGATAGTCAAAATAAAGAAGATAATCGTTCTCAGAAGTCAGAAGTTACCAAGTCAACAGCTTTCCCTGTGAACCTCTCAAGTGAACCCTCTACACAGCCACCAGCAGCCCAATCTTTGTCACCACAGATGTCCTCTGGTGAGTCTAAAAAACAGCAAATGAAGAAGAAAATGACAACCAAAATGACCAAAAAGGAAATAAGAAAGAGAATGGAGAAAGTCCTCAAAAGTGGGAAATATAAAATGAAAGTGGGCAGACTCATCTTCTGGGACTTTGGTGGACAGTATGTCTATTACACGACACACCAGACATTTATGACTTTCAGAGCTTTGTTTCTAGTAGTTTTTGATGGAAGTAAAAGATTGAATGAAGAAGTCCCTGATGTACTGTGTTTTCCAGGGCAGCACATGACACCAACCCCAGCAGGTAATTTATGTTAATTAAAATTGTAACATCTATATTACTGAACTTTGTCATGTTTGTCCATACAAATGAAAATATCATATTACTTGAAGGCAGACTACAATATTTTAAATGTTTTCACTTTTTACGGAGATTACGAATCCACATGTACTTCACATCTTTGTTCATTTACATGAGACATATCAATGTAATAAGAAAAAGGATTGGTGCCAATATCCGGACATGCTAACCATCCACACAGGAGAACACTAGTCCACACCCTGTTTTTGGTGGTAATCGTGTTGATCAATCTATAATTATCTGTGAAGTGCTTGTTGACTGCTTGTTTGTCTTGTTGTTCTTTTTTATTTTGGAACATGGTGTTTGTATTCTATTATTGAACTTCTAGTTTTTGATTGCCTCTGTTTTTTCAAAACTGATCAAATGTTACAAATAAAACCATTTACGTTATTAGGTAATATGTATTAAAATATGATTGAGATGCATTACAACTCATATCACATATTATACTTTGAATTTATTCTACTTTCAGTCTTCTTACTGCACTGGGTAAACTCAATCCTAACCTATTGTAAAGTGGTGTATGCTGGCATCCCTAAGATCTTGTTTGTTGCAACCCATAAGGACAAGGTACCAGTGGTAAGTGTAAAATATCTAGATAGGTCTTTTAAACAGGCATCCCTAAGATCTTGTTTGTTGCATCCCATAAGGACAAGGTACCAGTGGTAAGTGAAAATAAAATAAATAAATTGGACTTTTATACAGGCATTCCTAAGATCTTGTTTGTTACCACACATAAGTACAAGGTACCAGTGGTAAGTAAAAAAGATATAAACAGGTGTTTTATACAGGGCATTCCTTAGGAGATCTAGATATTTATCAATAGTATAAAGTAATTTGCATATGTCAAAAGGGGTGGTAGACTTCTTTACATCTGTCCATGTTTCCATTTGTTCCATGAAATTTTGATTTGGTATTAATCTTCATGTTAGTTGTTAGTAGTCTCCTTTGAATTTTTATGCATTTTTTATGTTGGGGGGGGGGGGGGGGGGAGGTTTGTATATCCACCTAAACTTATACTCTATGGGTTTTTCTTACAGTTGTATGCCATACTTTAATACATCTCCTTATTTTAATATAAAGCAATTCTTTTGAACAGATAACTCACATTAAGGTGTAATACCACCAAATCATAGTACGTCACATCCGGTTGCATACGAAAATAGGTTTAAAAAAATATTCCCTTGAATTTGACAGTTGTAGGTAATTGATCCTACATTTCATTGCAGTAAAACATTTCTGGGTCATAAACATATATCGTGGGTATTTCAAAGCACCATTATTTTTTTTTGGGGTTTCTATAAAATATTTTGGAAACTTGAGGTTACATGGTTACTAAAGCTTGTACACAGGTTAAAAAAAGGGGGAAATTTGATTGGTTAACTTCCAGTGATGGTTATTTTCTTATATGCAATGAAATGTTATGTGAAATTTTTTCTATAGTACTGGACAGGATAAAACTTTACTCATGCCAAGTATTTCTTTATTTGAAACAAAGATAAATTCTGCACAATTTTTTGAAAAGTGCAAATTTAACAAAGACTAATAGGGGAAAATCAATGGTGGTATTACACCTAATATGGGAAGCTGTACATGCACTTTTGACCTTGTGAGTACTCTCATGTGTTAAAATTTCTTGCTATTTAAGTGAAATATTACAAATAATGAAATATTCTGAGTGGATTGAGTCTCCAAAACACATTTTATAAGAAAATTTCCTTGAAATAGGACTTTACCATGAATATTAGTTGACAGAACAAGCCTTACTTAGAGTTTGGGTGAGCTTTTTCTCCTGATTTATTATATTCTGCTATACTAGAAATTTTTTCCTAAGAAATACTTAAATAAATATATAGTTTTAAGTAAATGAAATTATTTTTAAAGCAGTAACAACACCAAAAGAGAAGCTTTTTATGTCCCTCTCTGGGACGGGGCGTAAATTTTAAGTTTTACTTAAAGACTTATTGAAACCTCCTTGGAGACAGCAAACTTTTATACGGATAGTTCATTCAGCTTGAATACTTCAATTAATCATTTATTATAACATTTCTATCATAAATGAGTGAAAGTTACCCCAAAATTTTTATTTATTGGCCTAAAAAGTAGAAATTTTGAGGAAATGAGAGGTATAAATGGACCAAAAGAGACCTTATAAGGAAGACAAAGAGGCCATTAGTACTATTTATCATCCTAAAGTCATCTTTTATATCATATTCAACTGTTTGTAGGCAGATGAGATAAATATTTGATCATTTATTGGTCCACACTATATTCTATCATGATGTGGCTGGGTTTGGATTTTTAGAAGAAATTTTGCTCGAATCGCTGTAGATGTTCAAGCAGTGATATTGTTTGCCTCAAATTACAGCCGAAATTTGGCTTTTTCCCCTAGAGAAAATTCCCAATTACTAAAAAAAATGGCTCAAAATTCCTCCCAAAAAGTTTTACATTTTCCCCAAACAGTAATGGCATTGGTAGTAATGTTTGTAAATATCGTATTCATGTTATTATTTTGATATTATGAAAGCACTTTTGAGATCCAGTTTTCTGATCAGAATCATCCTGGTGTTTGTAACACATGTGGTTTTCAATGCATTAAGTACCATCATTGCTTCTGTTTCTTTCCCCTCTACGAAAAGTACCTTTCAGGTTGAAAATGTCTGACAACCAAAATATACATGAAAACAACAGTGCAAAAAAGACAGCAAAGGTCAGCAAAAAATCGGAGATGTGTTTAGAATAAAATATACAAATTTCCCAATTTCCATAAAAAATATGCATTTTTCCCAATAAAAAATGGTAGAGGTAGTTTTGAAAAAAGACAACAATATCACTGTGTTGTATAACATTATACTAGATTTTTCTCAAATTATTGAACTGATTATGACAGACCTTGACAGGAATGCTTGAAATAACCAGTATTACAAAGGAATAAAGTCACATTCAGTTTATTGAACAAAAAAGTCTTCTTTAGGTGTAATACCACCAAATCATAGTACGTCACATCCGGTTGCATCAAAAATAGGTCTAAAAAAATATTCCCTTGAATTTGACAGTTGTAGGTAATTGATCCTACATTTCATTGCAGTAAAACATTTCTGGGTCATAAACATATATATCTTGGGTATTTCAAAGCACCATTATTTTTTTATTTGAGGTTTCTATAAAATATTTTGGAAACTTGAGGTTACATGGTTACTAAAGCTTGTACACAGGTTAAAAAAGGGGGAAAATTTTATTGGTTAACTTCCAGTGATGGTTATTTTCTTATATGCAATGAAATGTTATGTGAAATTTTTTCTATAGTACTGGACAGGATAAAACTTTACTCATGCCAAGTATTTCTTTATTTGAAACAAAGATAAATTCTGCACAATTTTTTGAAAAGTGCAAATTTAACAAAGACTAATAGGGGAAAATCAATGGTGGTATTACACCTTAACCTTACCATTATTTCACTCAATGACATTATGTATCTTATGAATTTATTGCTTTTGAAAAAATTTAAAAAAAAAAAATGTATCCCTATATTTTGAGTAGACAAAATCTCACAATCAGAGACTATCACCACAAAAAATGTATGATAAATATATACAATATTTGTCCCGACACGTTGCGGGGGACATGAAAATAGCGGCGTCTGTTAGTCTTGTTAGTGCTCTGACCTGTACAAGTCTTGCCACAATTTTGTTGTGCCTGCGAAATTTAGCGACACATAGCGATCCTGGATTCTGTTGGTGGCGGCGGCAACATTTAGGTTCAGTCTGTGGTAAAATGTTTTTTTTTTTTAGAAAAAAAATTGCAGGTTATACACTGCATGTCCACACTTTGGACTCTATAGACAACGAATATCGAAGGACGATAACTATGTCCTCAGACCTAACATAAATCAAAAATCAAGTTTTATATTGTTTCATATTTTTTTTATTTTGGGCTTTTATAGCCAACTATTAAGTAGGGGGTTTTCCCATTTTTAAAAAGTTTGGCTGCTTATAAAGTCTCCCAAACAAAGTTTGGAGACTTATTGTTTTTGCTCAGTTCTTATTATTTTTATTAAGTCTCCCAAACGAAGTTTGGGAAGACTTATTGGTTTTGCTCAGTTCTTATTATTATTATTATTCTTCTTCTTCTTCTTCTTCTGCCGCTTTTAAATTTGAACTTGTCCGCACCCGTTCTCCAAAACCGCTTGTCAGATTAACTTAGGGTTTCACAATATGCTAGACTAACATGTCTAGTGGTGCAATCAGGGTTTTGTTTGTGCAATCAGGGTTTATAAAGGGGTACTTTGAGGGGGAAAAAGAAAGGAGGGTTTTTCTATAGAACCCTATGGGATTTTATTTTTTAAAATTTTCAAATGATTATAAATTAAAAAACCGTTTGTGATAGACACAATCTTTTTAATTGAAAATGTTCTAAATGATAAAGCACATTAATTGAAATACAGGGTTAGTCCCAAGGGGTCACCCCCACCCCCTGCCATTTAAGAAAGTTCTAATATCTTTTAAATGGTTGAGATCCCCACCCCTAAACCATATATATTCTGGTTTGTCATGCTAAGATGGTTTGAATGATATACAGTGTTAGTCCCCAGGGGTCATCCCGACCCCCTGCCATTTGAGAAAGTTCTAATATCTTGTGAATGGTCGAGATTCCCACCCCTAAACCATATATATTCTGGTTTGTCATGCTAAGATGGTTTGAATGATATACAGGGATAGTCCCCAGGGGTCATCCCGACCCCCTGCCATTTGAGAAAGTTCTAATATCTTGTGAATGGTCGAGATCCCCACCCCTAAACCATATATATTCTGGTTTGTCATGCTTAGATGGTTTGAATGATATACAGGGTTAGACCCCAGGGGTCATCCCGACCCCCTGCCATTTGAGAAAGTTCTAATATCTTGTAAGTGGTCGAGATTCCCATCCTAAACCATATATATTCTGGTTTGTCATGCTATGATGGTTTGAATGATATACAGGGTTAGTCCAGAGGAGTCATCCCGACCCCCTGCCATTTGAGAAAGTTATAATATCTTGTAAATGGTTGAGATCCCCACCCCTAAACCATATATATTCTGGTTTGTCATGATAAAGCACATGAAATGAAATACAGGGTTAGTCCCCAGGGGTCACCCCCACCCCCTGCCATTTAAGAAAGTTCTAATATCTTGTAAGTGGTCAAGATCCCCACCCCTAAACCATATATATTCTGGTTTGTCATGCGAAGATGGTTTGAATGATATACAGGGTTAGTCCCTAGGGGTCACCACACCCCTACTATTTAAGAAAGTTCTAATATCTTGTAAGTGGTCAAGATCCCCGCCCCTAAACCATATATATTCTGGTTTGTCATGCCAAGATGGTTTGAATGATATACAGGGTTAGTCCCCAGGGGTCATCCCGACCCCCTGCCATTTGAGAAAGTTCTAATATCTTGTAAATGGTCAAGATCCCCACACCTAAACCATATATATTCCTGTTCCTCATGTCTGGAACATTTGAATGACGTATACGGTCAGTCCCCAGGGGTTCCCCCTACCCCCCAATGTTCTAATATCTTGTAAATGGTCGAGATTCCC